CACACACACACACACACACACACACACACACACACACACACACACAAACACACACACACACACACACACATAATTACCAGCACAAACAACCAAAATCAAAATTGATAAACATCACACATACAATCACCACTAACAGACCTACCAACATTGTTAGTACAACCTACCGCATACTTCCATTGACACACTAAACAAAGCATGAAAAAAAAACCTGTACACCACTACAGACAAAAAAATACAACCCCCTCTGCACTACCATTAAGTAGGAAGGACATGTAAAATGAAAGATAAAAAAGACCCACTCAATAAACCCAGGACCTTACTACAGAATAAACAGAAACCACCTTCCCGCCCACCATCCCCAAACGCGCACCCCCAATAAAAGAAAGCACACCCACACATGAGCAATTCGACGTACGCAAGCAAGAACCAAGAACCAAAGATCAAAAAACAAAAAACAGAAAATTAGGCGACACGCACTAAGAACAAAAAAACAAGAACAAAAACGACAAAACACATATACAGACAAAAATACCAGAACAATACCCACATATGACCTGCAGACACAAACATACAACCCTCTATGCACTACCAGTTAAACATGAAAGTCATGAAAAATAAATAGACCCACACAACCAACCCGGGACCTCATATCAAAATAAACAGAGTCCACCTTCCCGCCCACCATCCCCAAACTCGCACCCCCAATGCAAGAAGGCACACCCACACACGAGCAATGCGACGTACGCTAGCAGGAACCAAGAACTCAAAAACAAAAAACAAAAAACACAAAACAGGCCACACGCTCTGAGAACAAAAAACAAGAACAAAAACGACAAAACACATACGCAAAAAAATACCAGAACAATGCCAACACATTACTTGCATACTCAATTAATTAATTTTTTAAAAATAACACGCCCTTCCTCCCACTACTGACTGAAACACATACAGACAATCAACCCGAAAACGTGACGTCACAGCAAAACGCAGACAGTATAAAGTACAAAGCTCTGCAAATTCAAACGGACACAACTTGACCCACCCCGCCCATGAGCGCACAAACGAACAACTGACTTCTGAGAACCCGCCAAAAAGACATAGCTTACCAAAAGAATACACACCTTCCATCCTTACATACACAACCACCCCCCATACCACGAAGAACAAAAACAAAAAAAAAACTCTCCAACCACCCCCCGGCGTGATGAATCCAAAAATCATACTACATACACCCCCACCACACCCACGACTCGCCACCCTTACCACACACTACCCAACCCCGCTAGCCCAGCAATCTACCACCTGCACTCGCACCAACTATACCCATACACCCGCACACACCTTCTACACCATCCAGCTGCATCTCCACCTCACTACACCTGCTTAAAAGTAAGCGGCCAATGGGTTTATCCGCATCTTCAGCCGGAGCGACCCACGGTTGGTTGCGCAAGCTACTGCCTGCGTTACTACCTCCCCTCCCTGCTCTCCTCGCTCCAACCTCAGACTCGGTACTGCGGACGGGACGGCTAGACCCTCTATAGCTACCTGAGAAAGGAGGCTGTCTATCTCCATACTTCTTTCTCATTAGCAGTCGCTAATAGTTCACACACGTGAACAAACGCTGCTGCTGTGAGTGCTGATCGGCAGATCGTAGGTAGTGAAGCCTTACACTGCGATCACAACGGGCCATCTCCAATCAAGGACGTGGACAGGAATGGCGGCTATGGATGAATACTTCGCCGAAGCTGAAGCCAACGAGCACGTGGTAAGTTCGGCTCAGAACACCGACTGCTCGAATCCTCACCACTTGCCCGCTCACCAGCACTGGGAGCCAGAGGAACCACACCCTCTGATGAGCCGTGACAGGCGCAAGCGGCGAAAAGCGCTTTAGGGGATGCGCCACCCGTCCTCCACCAGTTATACTACTGGTGTTGATGGCATTGACCATCACGCTCCCTACTCATCCCCATGACTCCTGCCGGACTACAACTCGCTTTCGCAGATCTCAACCGGCACGGCGGGGTATGTACTGAGATGCAAAAAAAGACCCCCAAAACATCTTTTTCAATTCACCAGACTTATCAAAGCCGACCCGCAGTACTCGCCACATGCTATATCATCGGCCGGCGAACGGGAATGGCCTTCTCAAGTCTCTACTATGTTACACGCACTTTCCGTAATAAATTTTTGCCTGTATCACACACATCGTATGTCCCCAACCGGATTAAACATGGATCACACAAGATGCATCAATCATGACAGACTGGGGAACTCAATAATCCTTCACTTTTTTAGGGCAACAAGGGTAAGCACAGTCCACTCGCATACTGAATGGCCCACCTCCGATCTTGAATGAATGACAAGAAAAAGACCAACAAGCACCTGACGCATAGACAAGACACATGCAGTGATCGTACCCTCACAAACAATACACAAGTTTCATAACGGAGTACTGTGGTACCCCCCTCCCTCTCCATAAGCTCAGAGTGGCTCATTAAGTCTCCCCCACCCCCCCAGATTGCCTCACTCACCCTCAGTAGATACTTCATGAAAGGACGATTTCTACCTACGTATCTCTCACGCTCATGTTTGAAAATCAAACTGATTTAGAAAGTAAAGCATAATCTTCACAGGACTCCTGCAGTACCCGCAAAACCCTTGCGGATGCATACACGCCAACAGACATTAGTCCCTTCGTAACCCGTACTCTCCAAAAAAAAAAAGTCCAAATATAGTACCGATTACTCGCCCCATCATTACTAATCAGTACCAATTTTTTCCTTCTCGCTCTGTCTTAACCTCCTCCACCATTGCTCCCGGCATGACACACGGATTCCAGTGTAGGTACTCAAACATTCCTTGCATATATATGGCACATAACCCTGCCGCCCATATAAAAGCGGTCGTAGACCCGACTACCGATTCCTACAAAAAGTATCACCCGTTGACCCGTATACCTTTTCGCCACTCCTAAATTACCAAATTAAGCCTGATCGACGACATAAGCTGTCGGCGACAGTGCGACATATGATTCGCAGCAACCATGATATCACCTATTTTTCCCAAAAAAATCCCCTGCAGTAGCAAAGTACGTTTATTTCATATCATATGGTCCACATATATCCCCTAAAAAACAACACCAACAACCAAACTAATAGAACACTAGGTGGTGGCGCCTGACTAGCAAGTACGTCTCTGAAGATGACGACAAACCCTCCCAGCGCTCCCACTGGATCCATCTCCACCAAAACAACCGTCCTTGAATCTGATACATCCAAGCAATGCGACCACATTACGACAACGAGAATCCAGTCTACCGCCTCACAGTACCTCGTCTTCCTCACGCTCCCGAAATGACAATCGTGAATCCAGTCTACCGCCTCATATCCGTAAACCTTTTTGCCACTTCTTGATTACCGAATTAAGCCTGATCGACGACATAAGCTATGATGTCATATATCTAGGATAGTTCAACATATGACTCGCAGCAACCATGGTATCACCAATTTTTCTCATATCATACGGTCCCCCTATATCCACTAAGAAACGACACAAACGACCATACTAGTAGAGCACTAGGTGTGGCGCCTGATTTGCAAGCACATCGTTGAAGTTGACGACAAACCCACTCAGTCTTCACACTGGACCCATCTCCACGAAACAACCGCCCTTGAATCTGGTACATTAAGCGATGAGATCATATTACGACAACGTGATCCCACTCTACCACCTCTTATTACCTCGTCTCTTACATGCTTCTGAAAAAATAATAGCGGGAACCGAAGAATGTGCCGAAGCAGGTACTAGCGCTTGCAACACCACATCATCTCTGATCCTGACCCTGCACTTATCCAACATGCCCCCACGTAGAATGATCCTCTGTCTAAATTCGAAGGACGGCACCTGCCAGCCCGACTGCTTCACTACCCCCGATACAACCTGAGGATCCCTACTGATCCAGCCATATCCACCCCCCTACAGCTATTAGGTAGAACCCGTCAGCAACTACGATTGGTTGCCGATCGTACGCTCCTCCCTATGGCCCCCCCAAAAAAACAAGGAAAGCCTGCGTATACAGATTACACCGACCAGTATGCTTGATTACTAATTCAGTTCACTGCCAAATTACGACAGGCTTCCTATCCGAAACACTGGAAAATAACCAGTATTCACAATAGCAAAGATTTTTTGACGACAACTTGATGTCATTATTAACTACATCTTTATGTCATAAACGTAAACTGCTTCCCCCCGTGAGATACGCAAAAACATACTCCCACACTTAATAACCCGTCACAACACCCTTCACTCCTAACCCGTCACAACACCCATCACTCAAGACCTAGCTATACAAATCTCCGTCCCCTACTATGAACCAAACCACTGCCAACTCTTATTAACCTGGATCAAAGACATGACCGCTCACATACCCTACTACTACATATCATAGCGCAGCTCCCCATGCAGATAAGGGCGTGCGACCAATGTTGCATCCAACTGTGCCTCCCACTCCGCAATCCTAGCCACAGTTGACAACAATAGACGAACGATCTTCTCAACAAGATCGTCTCCACCAACCCCAGGCGAATTCGGCACATAATCATGCACCTTTATCACAAAGACCCCCACATCTCGCAGATCGTCCCCTACATAGCCCAGCCCCAGCTCCAGACGTAGAACCATCGTGCCATTTGCATCAACTTCATAACTACGATAACCGAAACGGGTATCCCCTCCAACAAACCCGAAGTCACAATCGGGCATATAATCCCGAAGCTCGGTCATCTCATAGATCACTACGGTATGACCACACACCTGCCCCCGACACACCACAACAACTGCTATCACCGTCTCAGAACACGAAGCTAAGGATACAACTGGAAACAAATTCGGTCTATATCTGCCAAGCCAAAAAAAAAAACACCAACTACGAAACATCATCACTCCACCACCTCGATAGTAATAACCATCACACACACGACTACCGTTTTTATACTTTGTGCGCATGAGGAAACACACATGAAACCCCCCCCAAGAAAAAACACTCGCCCAAAATAGGCGCACATTTAATCCACCAACTGCAACGGGCCAAAGCACAGAACCTCACACCCAAACAAAAAGCCCCCCCTGAGAAAAAACACAACCCCCGCCCCCAAAAAAAAACAGATAACAAACTTACCCCTCGACAACCACCGGTAAAAATTGAACCAACAAAAAACAAACAAAAAACGACTTCCGGAACGACAACCAATATGAAAATCTAATGAACCTTTATCGCCCTTAAATACCACATTAATCGTAGTATCGCCACCCCCATCACCCACCCCAAACCCTCGCAAAAATAATACAGCAGCAATTCAACAACGCAAAGATAAAAATATATAGGATCGGCAAAATATAAGTTTCCTTTCCCAATGTATACGTATCATCAATCCACAGGGACTACGTTTTCTTTTTGATCTTTCGATCCTCCTGTTGTAACGAATCCGGTAAAATTAGAACGAGACAGACAAGACTATTTCTTGCTATAAAAAGATATAATTTTCTAAAAAATAATAATGCATGATACCACTCAGGGACAAGCCGCTATCTATTCAAATATAAGACTATTTGCAGTTTGTTCCCCCTTATCCACTCCAGTAACGATCGATACTGCACCTGCTTAACACCGTACTATATTTAGATATCTAGCAAACCACTCGCTAACCCTCACAGCATGCAATTTATACCCTTAATCCGAATATGCCTATCCTTCGCCCGCCGAATGCGCCCGACAGCATGACCTCGCTGAGGAAGCCCACCGACTCATCCACCCGGCCCCTCCTGACGGCCATGCATAGACCACCTTGCTACAAAAAATAATACAAAATAATAAAAAGTCACTCTCCACCACAGCAAACCTCCACAAAGGAATGAAACCAAAAAAAAAAATATATATATATATATATTTGACGACACACATATATATATATATATAAATAATAATAATAATATAAAAATAAAAATAATAATAAAACTGAATAAATTAATATATAAATCACTAGAGTATTAACAAGTCGCAGACTTCCTTGCTCTCTAACACACCAGCACAAAAACCGTCCTGAAAAAACACGATCTGATACGATTTTTCAAATGATTAACACACTAAACCCCGGTTGTGTACCGACGTGTCTGCTGCAGGATGAATCCGAAGCAGCTAATGGCTGGCACCACGAGCTTGCTGAGAAGGCCAAAAACTTCATCCAGCTCACTCCGCCCAGCGTCCACGCACAGATCGCCATGCTCGCCCTCCCATAACAAGTTCTGAACAAGGTCCACAATGCCACCAACGGGCAAGCCCCGTTTCTCATCGAAAATCTCCTCTTCTCAGATTGGGCACTCATTGTGTCCAAATCGAAAGACCTCAGAGGAGAAGAAGACCCCATCATCGCAGCCTACGCCAAGGACCTGCCCTCAATAATCAAGCAGGCCGCCCTACAGAACAGAGAAATGGAGAAAATTGTTTCCAAATCTGAGAAGGTCATACTAGACCTTCATGGCTTCAACTCTGCGCATCTCAGCACCCCAGGTGAGGTGACCACTCATGAATCATCACACGAGCACAGGCTCAAAATGCTTGAACACCTCAACCCCACACAAGCCGAAAGAGAATGGTATCTCAAAAGAATCGTCGAAAGACAACAGGAGGCTGCAAATCCTACCGTGTCTACACCCACACCCCGCAAATCCGGCTTCTTCAAAATGTCTCCCGATGCGCCATTTATCCTGGTCCAAACTGCCAGGTGGATTGAGGGAATCAGCAGCAACCATGATAACAAACTCTGGTTGCTTGATTCCTTCAACCACACTGCCCCCATATCCACCCAGGCATATGCGGCATTCAATAATCTCACTGAGATGGACCTCGCTGAGTGCAGAGAAGATGCCAAGAAGGCAACCATCTGCAAAGCAACAATTGATGCTAACTTCCCAATCCTTGGACCACTTGACTCGTCCAAATGCCCGAAATGTCACCCCCTACTTCACCAAAAAGCGATCCAGAAACCCATAACTGAGCTCTACGAGTTCAAAAAGTTGTGGAACTCAGGCAGACCGTATTTAAAGTGCAGTTGCCCATCACACAGCGGCGTGATCGCATGGTTTGACCACATGTTGTGGTTCTACATTGCCAACCTTGACATCTTCGAGGCAGATGTGCCTTCGGACATGATGAGGATGGTCGAACTAACAGATAAACTGCAAAATGAATGGAAGAAACCTGTCAAACTGCAGGTCACCTTCCTATACATGCGGAGACACATGATGAACCTAACCCACCTGCTTGTTGCTTCCCCATAGACCAGTATGGAACAACTCTGCGACAGAGCTCCATACAGGGACATGCCACTGGCCAGAAAGATTTTGGCCACACTCCTCCCCCCGGTTAGCAAGACCACCACCCCTTCACCAACACCAACCAAACGCAAAGATCACCCCACCCCAGGCATAATCCAACGCAGCAGAAACAAACAAACCACAATCGCATTCACTTCACCACCCCCCACTCACATCCGGCCACCAGCTGAACCCACAGCACACGCAACAGCACTCCACACGCACACTAACCCCGCTCCTCAACAACACCCGCGCAACATACCCACACGCACACCACCAGCAACCCAACGGCACCCCACTACAGCAGCACCACAACAAACACCACCACCACCACAAGCACAACAACCACAATCTGTCACTACGGCTCCCCCGCAAACGACTACGGTTCACCGAAACTCACACAGAGCAAGGAAGAACACTACTGCCCTCCCTCACCCTCCGAAAATATCACAGAAGGGCAGATGGCAAAAATGCAAGGAAAGACTCGCTGCAGCAAGGAAAGCGCAGCAGCAGCAAGCAATCCCGCAGCAGCAACCGCAGCAGCACCTCGACACCAGCACCGAACCACAGCATGTCAGCCAACACACGACCAACCCCCCTGCCCACACGTATGTCGGCACAACCCTACACCCTACTGCACAGATCATCGCTCCAACCAGCAACGCACAGCACATGCACCTCCCAGTACCCCCCACCCACGCATCATAACCCATTTCTGTGCAAGCCCAACAATTCATCTGAACAGTCCTCAACCACCAGCCACAAAGGTCTGCACCTGCCTTCTCTGCAGCCAATGCAGCCCTAGCCCTCTCACAAAACACAACACAGGCCAGACAATGGCTCCCACCCATCCACCAATTCCTGTCCCAGTACCAACAGCGAGCAGCACTGCTCCCATCCACATCGCATGCACAAGGATCTCAACGACAAAACCCAATCGTTCTCGAATCACCATCCCCAGATACACCACCCAAGGAATACAGCGACATTAGCATCCTTCTCGAACCGTACAATGTTGAATGCTCCTTAGTCGACCCCGAACTTGACGATAGCTACTCCGCCGACATCGTTCAGGAGACCATCTATGTACAGGTCAACAACAAGCAGACCAGGAGGAATCTTAGCGAAGACTACAACCACGGAGGGTTGACGCTCACGGACCTCTGATACCTGACGCTGCCACAACCAGCAAGAGACCCACGCGCAAGCTTCAAGAAAATCCTGCACAAGTTCGACTCAGGCAACCTGGCTCAAGATTTTGCATCAACTGCTATATCTACCAGGGTTACCTCCTGTTTACCAAGTTCCAAGAAGCTCAGCAAGCATGACACTCCAACAGTGCTCTTCACGCTCACTGTTAGGATTGCTAACAGATGGCCTAGATCCGGCCTAGATTTCCATGGTATAGGGATGACAGTACATAGGAACTACAGTTCGTGCAACATGAGGAAAAGCAAACAGCTGCTAAACACAGCATGTAGAGTAGTTGCTACAATAGCATAATGCTGCTCGCATGTTCTTCATCAGTCAATTTGTTGGCGTGCAAGTCGAGCAGACATGTGCCTCTTTTTTATATAAGAACACACTACCATAAAGTTCCCATAAAACATGATTGGCCTCCCGCAGCTACTTGTTGTTGTCCCCCCAAGGACTGGCTTTTTAATAATCTCTAAACAAAACTATTACACCCCCATCTCTTTTTCCTCCCCCTCTCTCCCTCCATCTCTCATTGTTCCCTACTTTTGCTCTCTCCCCCCCTCCCCAGCTTGTGCTTCTAAACACTGAACTCACACTCGCCCACTCTCCTCTTTATATCCGTTTTATGAATCATGCAACCTGACTGAATTATTTCCCCCCAAAAATGATACAACAACAACTTAAATGATCAATGTGCAAGTTTTTCCCCCCTCTCTCTCTCTCTCTCTCTCTCTCTCTCTCTCTCTCTCTCTCTCTCTCTCTCTCTCTCTCNTCTCTCTCTCTCTCTCTCTCTCTCTCTCTCTCTCTCTCTCTCTCTCTCTCTCTCTCTCTCTCTCTCTCTCTCTCTCTCTCTCTCTCTCCCTACCTCTGCACTCCCTGCTGTTTCCTTCCGCCGCTCTTACCCCTCTTCCCCCCATCACTCCTACATACTGCAATCACCCGCGCACAATCAAAAAAAAAAAAAAACCATCCTTATAGTATCTTCCACCGACCACTCCGCTAAAAAACCAATACAAATAGGACAAATGACCTTTTCTGCAGTATTTTTTCTACCCTTAGAAATCTACGCAAAATCATAAAATCTGTCTGATAAACTAAGTAATCCAGATACCCCATACACCCAGCGAATAAACAAAACAAGCACCGTAAACTAAAAAAGGCAGAAATGACATGCCCAACTAATGCGTTCTAAACCTCTGCTAATTTGGGCTGCAGGAACCCCTCGGAAGACTACAACGGCTCCCTCATGGAAGACTCGGCTGGCAAAGTAACAAGGAACACCCCAAACACATAATACACATCCACTACAAGAACAAACTATTCGAACGCATTAAACCCAGAAGACTCTTTGACACTCTTCTCACCAAATTCATCCCATAAGCCCAAAATGTCCTTGACAACTTCACGTTTGGATGGACATATGACAACCACATGGCCCAACCGCCGTATAAACCAACAACAGTCTTTCAGAACTTTGAAATAGAAGGATGGTATGAACAGCAAAACGACAAATGTTTTTGTCAACAACACCGGTTTAAGGAATTCATTAACAACATATCCAACTCAATACTCCTGGAAGACATGGAACCCCATGTGATCACCCTGGACATGAAAATTTTCACAAACCCCCAGCTTAGAACACTAATTGAAAACGTATTAAACCATATCC